GTGGTTCAGTTCATCTTGGAGGAGGTGGGGTTCGCAGATTCTTTTTGCACGGTCTGCCAAGGCTTTAATGGCAAGGCTTTCTCGGTGGGTTCCCGCCTGTGGAACTCACTCCCCGGGGAGATTAGATCGGCAACGTCCCTTCTTTCATTTAGGAAAAAGTTGAAAACCTGGATATGGGACCAGGCATTTGGACATTCTGGCAGCTAAAGAAAGACTTGATGACGAGCTGGAACTTGACGAGACGGAATGGATTTACGGAACTCCGAACGCTGAGCTCAGGATTAGCCTACTACTGTGTTTATGGTATTGTTGTGTATTGGTGATTTAATTTTTAATTTGTAATTGTTTAATTGCTTTTATATATGTATGTATATGTGACAAGGCATCGAATTGTGCCTTTCTCTGTAAGCCGCCCTGAGTCCCCCCCTTGGGGGTGAGAAGGGCGGGGTAAAAGTGATGGAAATAAATAAATAATGGTGCTTCTTTTTTGACTTGGGTGATGGTTGGAGTTTTTATGTAGATATCTATCTGTGTGTGGGTTTTCTGTAGACGGTGTGACCCAATTGTTGATCTGGTTTGCGGATGACTAGGACATCTAGAAAAGGCAGTCTTCCTTCATTTTCTTTTTCCATGGTGAACTGGATGTTTGGGTGGATGCTGTTAAGATGGTCCAGGAACCTGTTGAGTTCTTCTTCTCCATGGCTCCAAATGGTGAAGGTGTCATCCACATATCTGAACCATATCGTGGGCTTTTTGATTGCTGTCTCCAGGGCTTGTTTTTCAAAGTGTTCCGTGTAGAAATTGTCTTTCTTTAATGCCACTGTGGCATTTGTCTAGGCTGAACTCCCTACTGATGTCAGTGCTGAAGATTCTGACTGTGTTGGTCAGTGACTGGATTTCAGTTTCTGATTTTCCGTAAAACTTTAGATCAGGGGTCCTCAAACTTTTTAAACAGGAGGCCAGTTCACTGTCACTGAAACCAGTGGAGGGCCGGAATAAAGTTTTAAAAAACCCAACTATAATCAAATTCCTATGCACACTGCACATGTCTTATTTTGAAGTAAAAAAACAAAACAAAAACAGGAACAAATACAATATTTAAAATGAAGAACCATTTTAACTCAATGTTATGGAATCCTGGAGCTGCAGTTTGATCTTTTGGCAGAAAAGATAAAACAGCTTATAAAATTTTAAATTCCAGGGTTCCATAGTATTAGGAGTTGCAGTAGCTCCTGCAATCAAAGAGCATTCTGAATTCCCCAACAATGGAATTCAACCAAACTTGGCATGCAGAACTCCCATGACCAATAGAGTCATTATAGTTTGTGGCAGCCACACAAACAAAATTTCTGGAGGAGAACAACTACTTTCAAAGTAAGGGCCGCACAATTAAACAAGAAATAACACTTTCAAATCAGGAACAGATTTTTGTTCTTCAATTTGGTTACAGAGTGTGATTCCAGGTGGGAAGGTCTGACCAAAGCAGGAGATCAGAAAAGGAGGACTTTATTCTTACTATGTTTATTTATGCACCTATTTTTGTCTCCACAAGGAGAATGTGGGCCCTTCCAGACAGGCCCTATATCCCAGGATCTGATCCCAGGTTTTCTTCTTTAAACTGGATTATATGTGTCTGCACTGCCAGATAACCTTGGATAAACAGAAAACCTAGAATCAGATCCTGGGATATAGGGCCTGTCTGGAAGGGCCCTCAAAGGGCTCTTCCAAACAGCCATATAAATCAGAATATCAAGGCAGATAATCCACAAAAACTACTTTGAACTGCATTATCAGAATCCACCATTCAAGGTGGATTGTATACAGCTGTGTGGAACGGGTCAAAGCAGCTTACATTTCCAAATAATTTCAAATCTACAAATATATTAAACATTACATCAGAATTAAATATCATTGGCATTCTTTAAAGCAGGCATGGGCCAACTTGGGCCCTCTTTGTGTTTTGGACTTCAATTCCCACAATTCCTAACAGCCTACATACAGGCTGTTTTCACAGCAGAAGTCTGGATTTGCCAAAGAGAAGCAGAGGACAAAGGGGGGAAGAAAAGGAACCTCAGGTTTTGAGGAGACGTCTTTCCTCTAGGAGGCTGGCGTTTCTGCCACCCGCCCCTCTCTTCCCTTCCTGTTTAACTCGGGGGCTAAGTTTTGCAGGGGCTCCTTGAGCCCTGCACCCAGGTAGAGTTGGAGGGGAGAGCTAGATGGCGAGGGGAGGCTTTGGGGTTACCTACTGACTGCAAGGAAGAAAGAGTATAAAAAGAAGAGGAGGAGAAAGGGAGAGAAGAAAGAGGGAGAAAGAGAGAAGGGGGAAAGGAAGAGGGAGAAAGAGAAAGAAAAAGAGAGGGGAAAGGGGAGACTGAAATGGGGAGAAAGGGAGAGAGAGTATGAGGCGGAGACAGAGCCAAGACTTATTCCACTTAGAGGGAGGCTTCTTCCTTGGTGGGCCAAACAAATGCCCTTGGCAGGTCGCATTTGGCCAGCAGGCTGTAGTTTGGGGACCCTGCTTTAGATCATCCATGTACAGCAGATGGGAAATTTTTGGTGAATTTCTTGCTGTTTGGTAGCCCAGGTTTGTTTTCTCTTGATCATAATTGCACTGTTGTGCAATTATGAACAACAGTGGTGACAGTGAGTCGCCCTGGAAAGTTCCTTTCTTGATGCTAACAATTCCATAGCTTTCATTGCCCACAAACAACTCAGTTTTCCATTGTTTCGTTTTATTTTCTGTTTATCATTGCCAGGTGATGTCCAGTTCTTGATTTTCTTCACTCTTTCAGTGATCATTTCTGTTGTTATTTCCAACGTTCCCATTTTGTTCTCTGAAATTTTATTTTCAAAATCTTTTATCTACTCAGCTTTTTTGTTGTAACTTCTGTTTCCCACGGATCTTTCCAGAGTGCATTTGTAGCTGTTTTTGCTGGTTTTACATTTTTCACAGCCACCTGCTGATTCAGACTCTGGTAGAACTGCTTCTGATCAGATTGGAAGAGCTGATTTTGTTTATATGACATATTGCTCATTTTTTCTGCCTGTTGCCATGATTTTTTGTGACAAAGAACAAAAATGTATGTATGTAAATCTTAGCAGACTCTCAAGACAGTAATATACAACAGTATTC